CTTGCCCTGCCCCCATGCAAAGACTACTTTTTTCTTCTTTTGTGTTTGCCTGCCTCACCACCAGTTCTGCTTGGCCACTGGTTCCCAGTACAGCTGTGAGGTGACAGTGAGAGGCAGCTCCCTTAGCCTTCCATGACAAGCTTTCTCCATCTGTTATCCTTTCTCTTCAGGCCATGTTCTGAGATGTCCACCTTCCCCTTTACTTCTCAATCAGTCTGGCACCAAACTATGACAGATTCAGAGCAGCTCTCCCGCAGCTCAGTGGGGATTTCTGCCCTCCAGCTGACATTGTCTCCAGCATCCGGTGATACCCAAAGGGTTCAGGTTTACTTTGCTGGATTTTTCACTCTTTAATTTCATGCCCAGAAAGCCTGGGAAGATATATGAATGGCACTCTCCAGAAGGTTGGGGCCAGATGCCCATTCACAGGAATGTACTGTGCAATAGTACAGAATAAAGTTTTATGAACAAAAGACTAACAGAATAAAAATCTTTGATTGTTCAACCATGAATCTCAAAGATGTAGGTAAATCCTCAAAGTGACTTACAGCCCCAGTTGTAAGAATTTCTCTAGTAGAGTCACTATTACATAAGTCTATCTCTCAGACAATGAGGCACCATGTTAATTGAAAGAGGACAGGTAGCATTGCTAGTAGCATCTTCCCTTCTCTCCACCTTCCTGCAGGTCCTCACAGCTTCACAGAAAATGCTGAACCTGTTTCTCAAATAAGGCCACAGAATTTTCGTGAATTTATCCAATTCTTCAATGCCATCTCCTTGGTTCAGAATGAGAGCACGAAAAATGTTGGGTTTTTTCTACTCTTCTAATTGCTGTCTTCTCTACAACTGGAGGCAGTTAGGTTCAAATATTTACTAGTTTTGTGACCCTGGACAAATCATTTAACCTCTGTCTGCCTCAGTTTCCTCAACTGTAAAATGGGGATAATAGTAGCACCTATCCCTTAGGGTTGTTGTGAAGATCAAATGAGGTAATAGTTGCAAGCACTTACCACAGTGCCTGGAATATAGTGGTCACTTTATAAATACTTGTTCCCTTCCCCCTTCCCCTTCTGCCACCTTGTTCCACCTTTCCCTCCTTAAAAGCCCCTACCTGTGCAGTGGATAGAGCACCGGCCCTGAAGTCAGGAGGACCTGAGTTCAAATCTAGCCTCAGACCAAACACTTGACACTTACTAGCTGTGTGACCCTGGGCAAGTCACTTAACCCTATTTGCCTCAGTTTCCTCATCTGTAAAATGAGCTGGAGAAGGAAATGGCAAGCCACTCCAGGATCTTTGCCAAGAAAACCCCAGACGGGAGCCTGAAGAGTCAAGCACAACTGAAAAGACTAAATAACAACAACCCACTGCATCTTGGGCCCTTGCCACTTTCTTGACCTTTGTCTTGCCGCTGGACTTTGATGATTCTGGAGGAAAGAGTGAGGCAGATGACTTCATGCACAGTTCAAGACATCACCCCGTGATACCATTGGTCCTCTTCAAAAACAAAGGATGAACAACAAGACCCCAACACACCCCTACCTAGAACTCAACTCTCTAGCTTCTGCCCAGAAGCCCCACACCCCTGATTAGTGAGAGTTCTCCATAACTAACCCAATCCAGACCCCCAATTCCTATCACTCTCTGGCCATCATTATACCATCCTGTCACCTGGGTAAACCCTCCCCCTTTCCACCTACAGTTTTGGCAAATCAAATGGAGAACCTTCTATTTCCCAGAAGGCACTATCCATCAGTTGCCCCGTGGCTACACTTCCTATCCACGTGAAACACCTCTCCCTGGCCACCACCGTTCCCTTATATCCTAATAATATAAGTTCTCCTTAAGGACAGGGACTGTCTTGCATTTGGATTATACCCTCAGCACTCAGTGCCTGGAATATAGTAAGTGCTTGCTTAATCAATGAGTTTTCATTCTTTCACCTGGGAAATTATGACACATCTTGCATTAATTAGTGAGTGGAATAAAATGAAAGATTATTTTAAAACAAACTCAGTGTGGAGAGGAAGACTATGTTCCTTAAAATTCTTAGGAAATAAAATTTTCTATTTTACTGAATGTAGACTCAGGGGGAATATTTTTCCAAATCATCAGAGAAATATATCTGATTCTTTACTGTCCTCTCAAGGCTACAGAGCTTGCTGTTCTCAAACCTGTATTAATTAATAGGGTATTCGAATTTAGAACTATAAGGGAGTTTAAAGATTATCTTGTCCAATTTGCTCACTTTACAGAGGAGGAAACCAAGGCCCCAGAAGTTTAAATAACATGCCCAGGGTCATAGGATCAGACAGATTCTAAGGAGTTGAGGCAAAGTTTGAGTGCAGGTCACCTGACTTTAGATCCAGTGCTCTTCCCCCTACACAGGACAATTTTTTGGCTTCTCATTTTCCACTTTTTGTAATTGATTAAGATGGGGAACTCTGGAGATGCTGGTATTTTTTCAACTCTACAATTCAAAGACAGGATGAGTTTTTGTTTTCTTTGTTAGAGCTGGGGAGAAAATAAATATTAAATGAAAAAAATTATATAGCACACCTCCATTTCCTCATGTACAAAAAAAGCATTTTAATACGTAAATATCTTACAGAAGTAGGGAACTATGGGTGTGTAATGCAGCACATGCTGAATGACATATTTCTTTCTTTTTCAATCTTGGTTACAAGGGATGACTCTAGAGGTGTGGGATGATAGCAATAAAAATAAGATTTTAAAAAGAAATGTAATTAGTGTAATATATAGCAATGCTAATTATTTTATTTTGGAGTGTGCCAGCTGATTGATTGTGATCAGTTGGCTTGTATGGAACTTGACCTGGTTGATTATGAGGTTGGCAACTGAAGCCAGTTCTACTCTCCCTCTCCATGGCATTTCTAACATGGATCAAGGCATGACTGAAAAGAATCTCTGCCCTCTTCTCCCCACCCCAACTCATAAGCAGCCACTACTACCTACCTCTCACCCCAGTGATTTACAATATCAGTATTCCCTGCTCCACTTAATGTCTTGCCCTGTCACCTCCCACTCCAGCCCTAAAACCAGACCAGTATAATCAGCAAATATACTCTTGTCTTCATGTTAAAACTTCTGTGACATTAAAAGTAGGTCCTCCTCCAGAAAAGGCTGGGGTCCCTTTGTTTAGTCCAATTCTAAGATGCTAAGAGTCACCTTTAAGCTAATGGGACTCTCCCTTAAAACCCCCATAGAGGGTGATTGGGAGAAGAATGGTGGAACAGCTACAGAAAGGATAAATCAGATTCTTCCCGGGTGCTCTGCATTCCAACAAGGATCTTTTACTCCTGTATCGTCTTCATTTCCCCATTCTCTGAATAACACTAGTTAAAAGGACATTTTAAAAAAGGGTAAACTCTGATAACAACAGTCAAACGCTTTAGGCATTGACTCTTGTTTGAGAACAGCAAGCTTTGTAGCCTTGAGGGGACAGTAAAGAATCAGATATATTTCTCTGATCATTTAGAAAAATATTCCCCCTGCGTCTACATTCAGTAGAGTAGAAAATTTTATTTGCTAAGAATTTTAAAGAAAATAGTCTTCCTCTCCATACTGAGTTGTTGTTTTTTATTTTTTAATAACTCTTCATTTTATTCTACCCACTAAAAATCCCCACTAAAAGATGTCTATCAGATAAGGTTCTGGCCTAGTCAACAAGCTAACCTGGAAATATCTACTATGTTCTCTGCAAAGTGCAAGGCATGACGAAGATAACCAGAGAAGGAGAAGACAGTGCCTTCCCTAGAGAAGTTCTTAATCCACTTGGGAAGAGATGTACCACATATGAAACAGTAAGAAGACAAAGTGTAGCAATAAATATGCAGGTCAAATTGTATGAAATAGACTATAAATGCAAAGAAGGAAATGATTAATTTGGGATGAGGCTGGGGGAGGGAAAGGTCTTTATTGGGAACATGAAAGCTTGCCTGGGCTAACAGGCCGTGTTACCCAGTGGTTAGAGAGCTGTCCTTGGAGTCAGGAAGACCTGAGTGAAAGTCCTGCCTCTCAAACTTACTGAACAAGTGACCTTGGGCAAGTCACCTCTCAATTCCCAAAACAAATATGTAATGTTATAAATTGTAGAGATGTGCTAGTCTTCAGTGGTATAGGAAACTTTCTTACCAAGTTCTCTGTGCCAATGAAATCACAGGTCCAGTCAAAACATACATACATGTATTCCAGGTATCAATGAGGGAGACATGAAAGGCACTATGGTATATAGTGATGGCACCTAGGTTGTGCAATAAATAGAGTGCTAGCCCTGGAGTTGGGAAGATCTGAGTTCAAATCTGGCCTCAGACACTTACTAGCTGTGTGGCCCTAGGCAAGTCACTTTAACCCTGATTGCCTTTTTTTAAAAAATGATGATAATGATGATAGCATTTATATAGCACTCTAGGTTCACAATTTTTTAAAAACAAATATTATCTCTGTTTATCCTTACAACAATCTCCATTTTACAGATGAGGAAATGATGACAGATAAAGGTTAAGTGACTTGCCCAGGGTCACACAGCTAGCATCTGAGGCCAGATTTGAACTCAAGTCTTACCTGATTCCAGGTCCAGTATTCTATCCATTATGCTGCCTAACTAATACTTAACTTACTTAGTGTGACCATGGGCAAACATGGTAATCTCTCTGTGCCTTACTTTTCACATCTGTAAAATAGAAATAATCAAAGAGGCATTGTGCATAGTAGGAAAAGGTGTTGGATTAGGAGTTAAGAGAGCTTATGTTTTGACCATGGCTCTGATACTTACTACTTCCGTGACCATGGGCAAATCACAACCTCTCAAGACCTCATTTTCCCCACCTGTAAAATGAGGAGAATGAACTAGATGATCTTTCAGGTCCTTTCTAGTTCTAAATATAAGATTTTATGTTTCTGTATTGAAATACCTGTTGGGTATTGACCATGTACAGAAAAATGATATAAACAAAGGACCACTCTTGTATCTCCAACCCACCTACACACTGTGCCTTGTAGACAAGGTCCACTTCCCATCGGCTTGATTTTATCAGGGGCCCATCTGTACGGCAAGCAAGGGAGATCTCTACAGATTCTGTAGCTTTTCTTAGAGATTCAGGACAACACCTGTGAACAAGACACATTCACTAGCCTGATGTTTCCCACCTAAGTGACCTTTAACCATGTCCCCCTTCCAGTGAAAGAACTCATTTTTCTCAACTGCAATTGTTTCATCTGCAATGTGACAAGATCAGGCTGAAGCATCTCTATAGTCACTCCCAGCTTTAGATTCTTTTAGAATAAAATTTTGACCTGTAGAAGCAACAGCTGTGCTGAAAGCATTACATAATAGGATATTGACATCATCGAGAAGAGGAACACTGCTGAAATAGTATCAGATGGCTTTCAGAGTTATTTTAAATGGTACTGGCAAAAGTTTTACAAAAAGAGATGGATTCACACTAAAATTATACGCAGCTACCTTGAAGGTTCTTATGCCTCAATTGAAAAAAACAATTAGGATCCACGGCAAATGCTTAAGGAGTCATTTTAGTCACTCTTTTTTTTTTTTCAGCCACATCTTACCCTTTGTAACCCCATTAAAGGTTTTCTTGACCTCTCCAGAAAGATACTGGAGTGATTTGCCATTTCCTTCTCATTTTACAGATGAAGAAACTGAGGAAACAGGGTTAAATGATTTGCCCAGGATCACACAGGTGGTCTGAGACCAGATTTGGACTGACAAACATGAGTCTTCCTGACACTAGGCCCAATGTTCTATGCTCTAGGCCCACTGCACCACCTCACTGCCCAATTAAGGAGTATTGTTACTAAAATGTAAGAATTTAAATTATATTTTTCCTAATCTTAAAATTAAAGCAGATTAAGGTAGTGTGACATAGTGGATAAAGGGCTAGCCAGGAAGACCTGGATTCAAGTCCTACCTTAGACACATAAAGGCTGTGAAACCTAGGCAATTCACTTACCCTCTCTATGCTCTGAGGCAGTAGTGTCAAACTCAAACATTAATGGCTGCCATGGATCCATACATAAGGATCCCTACAGGTCACATATTGATTTAATTTTAAAATGCAATATATTATTTATGTTTTATTATATTTTTATGTATTTTGTGAAATATTTCCCAATTGCATTTTTAATATGGTTCTGAAAGCACACAAGAGTGTTCCAGGCCTTGTGTTTGACACCTCTGCTCTTAAGTCAATGAGAGAAATGACTATTAATAACCAACAAGTTGGGGAGATCCAGAGTTCTCCTCTTTCCAAAGTTCTCATTTCAAAACTCATCCTCTGAAGGCTGAATTAACTTTTTCCTCAATCCCATAAGACCTCACCCAGTCTTACAAGAAATTTCATCTAAGGTAGGGAAGTTCATTATACTCTGCTCTGGTTTGGGTGTGGATAAATTCCTTGAATTGATTGCCCAAGGCTAGGGGTAATTCAGAAGTAAATGACATAATCAAAGTTCATTAGAACAGGTCCAGGCCTTCATTGTAATATTCATTCTCTTTCATTACTTGTTAACCAATCAGAGTTGATTGCTACCCTCGGGAACACCCACTTTTTGAAGGGCATAGAAGCAATGTGCCCACTCACCATGATGATTTTTGGCATTTGAGAGTGCCACTGACTTCTCTTATTAATAAAATGATATCATTATTAATAAAATGTTAAAACCATGTCTCTTGAACTTTTTTAACATCACAAGCAACTCTCTTATTATAGATGCACAGAAGGTGCTGATCTACATTGATAGAAAGAGTTGTCTCACCCAAGAGTTGTTTATATCAATGAAATCACAGGACCGGTACTTATTCTAAGATTAAATGTCAAATTATTCCATGAAGTGGGAGGGAGAAGAGGAACACTTCTTCAGGATGCCCAGGAAAGAAAGACATTCATTCAGCAAAAATGCAAACATATATTGAGTGCCTACTATGTGCAAATCACCATGCAAGGGACTGAGGAAAATATGAAGACAAGTAAAACTCAATGCCTGCCCTCATGATGCTTATAATTTAGTAAGAGATAGTACATCAAGTGCACAAGTACTAGGATGCACAATAATGTGGTAAGAAGGAAGGAGAGATCACAACAAGAATTCAGAGGAAACACTCACCTCTATCCAGGGACCACTGGGAAAGGCTTTACAGAGCAGGTAGTGTTTGAGTTGAGCCTTGAAGGTCAAGTCTCTTCATCTTTCTAAGCTGCAATTTCCTCATCTATAAAATGAGGATAATGATATTGATATATAGTTTTTTGTGTGTGAAAAAAGCACTTTGTAAATTTCAAAACTGCATAAATATGAAGAGAGAAAAATCAACTATACCAATTCCAAAATAATTATACATGCTTCAAAGTTTGCAAAGTGCTGTAAAATATCTCATTTTATCTTCTCAACAATCTTGCAAAATGTGACTTGCCGAGCTTCACAGAGCTAGTCAGTCTCTAAAGCAAGATTTGAACCCAGGTGCTTCTGATTCCAAGTTCAGCACTCTAGCCCCTATACCATCTAGCTGCCTTGAATATCAATACCCCAACCTGCTGGAAATGCTTTAGTGTAGATGACACCATGAAGTAGCATGAAATCGATTGATTCCATAAATGCTTTCATTATGTGCTCATTCTTTATGATAATATCTTTGGAAACAGATCTTACCATTTATAGGCAAGGACTTCCTAGTGTCCTCCGTCAGTAGCACCCCCAGCTCCAAGTAACTCAATAATCATTGCCAATAATTGCCAGTGCAGGGCAATCTTAAGAAATAACTTCATCCTTAAGCCTAGATTAGGAGAAAAAAAATGAGATGAAATCAAGGGGCTACAAAACCTTAAAACCAAAACATTGAAGAATCTTTGGTCATTGAAAATCTCCACTTAATGAAACTCCAAATGTTCTATGTAGTGAAATGGAAGATAAAAATAGTACTGATGCCACAAAAATTTTTGAAAAAGAGATGAACTGAGCTAGAAATTTCTAAAAGCCCTTTCTGATTGAGTTTGACAGCATGAATTCAAACAGCAAACCAACTATACCACAGTAATTTTAAAAAGCTGGCATTTGCTGCAATCATCATGAACAAATGCATTCTCCCTCAGTATCTGACAAAAAGAGGAAAAACTTTTTCAGGACCTGTTCACAACAGTCTATGTTATTGCCAAGGTAAGTCCCATGGGAGGAAATCTGAAATTCTGAATGAATATGCCTTATCATAGGCATCAAACACCACCCTGGCATAAGTGATTTGTGAAAGCTACTAACAACCTGCAGAATGTCACAGGAAAATTACATCAATATCTAACTGGTATGTAGAGTCAAAAGCTTGAATGCCCTCTCTTCCAATTAAAGGAATTAGACAGATAGATAGATAGATAGATAGATAGATAGATAGATAGATAGATAGATAGATAGATAGATACGTAGATGTGAAGAGGTCTAGGACTTTTGGGGTGCTGCTGGGACCCCAAGATCATGGTACCAGGCCCTGTCTGAAAGAATTCAACTCAAATCTTTTTCAGCCAGAGGAAAGTTTATGAGTGATAAAACACTTAGGCTAGGTGACACCCTGGGCATGAGACAAGCGGGCATAAGAGATTCTCAGCCTTTTAAGCATGAGATTCTCAGCCCTGAATGAGGGCCAGGGTAGATCTTATATACTTTGGGTGACCAGGGAAGGGTCTGGGAAAATGGTCTGGGAAAAGGGTCTGGGTGAGAATTCCCAGAGATTGGAATGTCTAAGAGATTGAATAGACAATGAAGGAACTGAAAGGCATCTGAATGAGATTAAAAGGTAGGCTGAGGCAAGCTTGCAAAGGGAGATGAGGGGCTGTGGCCTGTAGACAAAGGGGAGCCAGATTCCCTTTGGAACAAGGGGCAAAGACCTTGGCTTGGGCCACACCCCATCAGATGGATGAATAAACATGCAAAATAGACTCTGGAAACAAAAGTATATCAAAATTCTAGATTACTCTAATCAGCAATTGAAAATACAACCCCTGTCCCAAGGTCCATTGGTATGGGACTCTCTCCTTAGTGGTGGAAATGAATGTCCTGCACTGCATGAGGGGCCTGGCAGAGTTGGTGAGAGATGAGAGGCCTCAAGATTGACCAGGACTCAATGTTCAATGAAGACTCAAAGCTTGACCAGTCCCAAAGGGAATAACACAAGTTTAAACTTTTGCCTCTCGCCAATTCTGTCTGGTCCCTGATGGAGGGTAGGTAGGGCATTCACCTCTATGACTAAGGAGAGAGTACCATCCCAGTGGGCCTTGGGATAGGGGTTACAAAAACAAAAATCACAAGGTGAAGTTGATACTAGGAATCTAAGCAGTGTATCATAGGTCTAGAGCTTTCCTGATACTTTCCTGACTTCCCTGACACAGTTTCTACAATCATAAATTTAGAGATTCCCCTGACAGAGTTTCCTGATCTGAGGGCATAAAAAGTCCTAGCCATGTATAGTCTGAGACTCTCAGACTTGGTCAATGCCTGAGACCATGAGTGGAAACAAGGAGGGGCCTGAGGGAGGAGAAGGAGGCCTCACCCAGAGAAACCAAAGTAAACCTCCTCTTTCATTAAATGTTGAGTGACTTACAAGTGCCTAATTTCATCCCAACATCAAACCTGAATTAAGAAGCTGCTTGCTTACCAGCTGTGCCTGCAACACATCACAAAAGACAAAATAAACAATACAATGTTGATGAAAATTTACTAAAGAAACATAAGAAACAAAATCAGAAGAGAGAGGGAGAACTCTCACAGGTGGATGTAGAAAATTTCTGGTCATCTATATGATCACAAGAAGTAAATAATAATTGATGATGATGGTGATGATGATGATGATGATGATAAAAATGAGTAAGACTGTGCAGGCAGAAGTGTAGGAGGAGAGCGTTCCAGGTACATAATACATAAAATCAGCACAAAGAAGCGGAGGCAAGAGTGCACAGGATTCCAGATTTGTCTAAACTATATGGTTCATGAGGTGAACAGTATAAGGCAGGGTTAGAAAGGAATGTGGGAGCCAAGTTGTGGAACGTTTATACATTAGGTTTTAGGAATTTTAGCTTTGGAGACAGGTGGTGCAGTGGGGGCAGCTAGGTGGCACAGTAGATAGAGCTCTGGCCTTAGAGTCAGGAGGACCTGAGTTCAAATCCAGCCTCAGACATATAACAATCTCTAGCTCTGTGACTCTGGGCAAGTCACTTAATTGCCCACCAAAAAAAAAGAAAAAAAGAAAGAAAGGAATTTTAGCTTTGTTCAGTAGACAATGCAGGGTTTTGAATAGGATTGTAGATGGTGGGGGAACACAATGGAATGGAGTTATGTTCAGCAGCTTTAAATTGCCAGGGGTGTACAAGTTAGACTAAAGAAAAAAAAGAGAATAAAGCAGGAAAACCAATAAGGAAATGATTACAATAGATCAGGTAAGGGATAATGATGTCCTGACCCAGGCTAGTGGCAATAGAAATGGAAAGGAGACAGATGGATATAAAAGATATTGTAGAGCTAACCAGAAGGCATGTTCAATTGAATAAAGCTGGGTTAGACTCTAAAATTTACAATCATCTGGTCATCTATTTTGTTAAAGAAATATTTAGGCATGGGTCTAAGCCTTCATTCTGCCTTTCACTTACTAGGAATATCTCCCAGGGATCATAGATTTAGATTTGGAAGGGACTTTAGATGCCATCTAGTCCAGTCTCCTAATTTTAAACATTAGGAAACTCAGGCCCAGAATGGTTAAGAGATTTGCCCAAGGTTACACGGTCACTATTCTCTAAGTTACAGAAGTGTTTGTCTTTTTTTTAAATTCCATTTCCCAAAAGTATTTTCTATTATTTTATTTTTTCATTTTCACTTAAAAAAAACATGAGGGGTTTTTACTTCAATAATTATGACTTTAACATTGGAAGTAATAAATGTTTGAGTCCCTAATGAATCTATTCTGATTAGTAGTTCCATCCTTCAGCATGAAAGAATAAGAAAAGAATAAGGGCTGGGAGGCTATCTGGACTTGTTGAGAACCAGGGAGAGCAATCTGATGGAAATCTTTTCATCACAAACTCAACAGAATGCACAAAGTGAGAAGACCCAGTAGAATAAAAGAAATTCTCTAAAAAAAGAATATGATAATAGTTTCTTATAAATTGATTTCCCCGACCAGATGTTCCACAGGAAGAGGTGGAGACCACAACTCTTCCACAGCGTATGTTTATAATAGCAGAATGTTCCTTGGGCATGTGTTTATAATAGCTGAACAAAGGAATCCAGGGATGGTCCTTACTGTGAAGTAGTTGAAATTTGTCTTTGAGACCTCTTCTTCCTCTTCTAACCCCCTTCTCCTTTTTAGTCATTCTTTTTTCCTCCCCCCTACCTCCAGATTTCAAGTATCCTCACATCAGCATAACAACAACCACCAAAAAAAACACAAAAACAAAACCCCACTCTGATGATGGACCACCAACTAATCCCCAAGGTAACTAAAGTGGGACAATTGAGACTTTGCTACTGGGTAGGAAATTAATAGGGTGCCAACAGTATCACCCCAAAGCACATTTCCTCCCTTACCCAGCTGGACCCCCCCAACAATGGCAAAAGGCACCCCTTTCAGTTTAGATCCTCCCATGTCATGCTCCCTCCACACTCAAAAAACTCCAGTGGTTCTTCTCTTACCTCCAGGATCAATATTTTGGAACATTTTAACAAATATTTATTAAGCACCTACTATGTGCTATTAAAACCACTTTACAAATATTATCTCATTTGATCCTTACAACAGCCCTGGTAGTTGGGTGCTATTATTATCCTCACTTTCTAGATAAGAAAACCAAGGCTAAGAGAGGTTAAATGCCTTTCCCAGGGTCACATAGTTACTTAAATGTCTTCTTCTTTGGGGCTTCTACAAAGCCCTTCACAACCTGTCCCCTTTCCATCTGTTCAGTCTTCTTACACTTTACTCCTGCCACATGGGACCCTCCATCTCCCAACTCCATGCCTTGTCACTGGCTGTCCCTAATTCCTGGGATGTTCTTCTTCCACACCTCTACCTCTTGGCTTCCCAGGCTTCCTTCAGGGCAGTTCAATTTTTACCTTTTACAAGAGGCTTTTTCTGAATCCCCTTTGCCCTCCACACCTCCTACCTGTTAGTGCCTGCCCTCTGAGATTACCTACCATTTTTAATATATTTATTTTGTATGTACATAGTTGCTTGCATATTATTGTCTCTCTCTCACCCCCCCTCACCTCCCCCCCAATAGGATTTAAGCTCTTTCAGGACAGGGACTGTGTTTTTACCATTTTTTGTCTCTCCAATGCTTAGTACACTTTTGTTGATAACATTTTTGTTGAGCCATCTTTCAGTTGCGTCTGACTCTTCGTGACCCCATTTTGGGTTTCCCTGGCAAAGATACTAGAGTGATTTGCCATTCCCTTCTCTAACTCGTTTCACAGATGAAGAACTGTGGTAAACAGTGTTAAGTGGCTCACCCAGGGTCACACAGCTAGTAAATGTCTGAGGCCAGATGAGTCTTCCTGACTCCAGTCCTAGCACTCTATCCAAGATGCCCTGACACATAGTAAGTGCTTAATAAATGCTTGTCGACTCCCTCTTCAGCAGCAAGGAAACTTCCTGAAGTTCTGGGGCAGCCTTCCTCTATACCACCATCCCCAGCTTACTCTAGATGCAAAAATTGCTAGATACAGTCCTGCTGGATCTCAGTTCCAGGCTTATAATGGGAAGAAAGAGATCTGAGCTCGGCAAGAGTATGAATGCAAT